CTGTATTCCACCCATCTCAAAGAGAATTCTTCTGATTGTGAAATAAATGTGAAACTGCAGAACACCATCAGCTCGATTTAAGTAAACTTTTCCCTCCTTTTTGCTGAAGAATATTACTTGCACTTCGAACTTGCTCAAATCTGCATTCGGATATTCTGCTTTGAAATCATTCAAGGCTTTTGTTCTTTTTTTCTCAGCAATTCTTTTTTCTTCATCTCATCTTAACCACGCAATGAACATTTTAATTTGTTTTTTAAATCAAAATGGTTTCGTTGACAATTATTGCAGATTCAATAAGGCGAGCAAGGGGAGCTCAGAAAAATTTCACAATTAACTTTGAAAAGAAAAGCAGATTTTTATAATCACCACACTGATCTTATTCCAGCAAATTTTCAAAGAGAATTTCTCAAGCAAAGCGGCTGAAAAAAAACCAAGATAAAATTTTATGAAAATATAAAAAAACTATATTTTTATAAAAATGGAGAACTGGAATGTTAAAGAATTAAAAGCCGAGGCAAAACGACTCGGGCTAAAAAAATTTTCAAGCCTCAGAAAGCAGGAGTTGATTGAGTTGATATCAAACATTATTGACCATCCAATTCCAGCAGATTTCAATGCTCCAATTCTCAGACCAACAAGAAATTCTGGGCAGCAGAGAACGCAGACCGACGCTGGCGCAGTCGCTGACGCTTGATCCGCAAGAACAAAGGAAAAGAGAAATAAGAGAAATTGAAGAGATGCTTGGATTGAGACGCAGTCACTTACGCTCAACAACTTCAGATTTCTCGGACGAATGGAACGAGTTCGTTGAAAACTACGAAAATAATCCATTTACAGTTCGAGACAACGGACGCTGGCGCGCCTGCGAGTCAGCATCTGCATTGAGAGGTTTCGCAAGGCAGTTCAGAATAGATGGAGTTGAGGGTTTTGGGCCAAATTAATTTATGCAGGAGGTAAAACCGGTAGTCTTGAAAGTCATGAGAGAGAACCGCCAGACAACTCCCCGGCGGACTCAAGATGATTCTTTCTTGCGAGATGAAGAGGCGAGCCATGGATGGAGAAGTTCAGTATCTTGACGCTTATTTCCACACCAACACAAATGAAAATCTTAATGCAACTAATGAATCTGAAGAATATGAAAGATTTATGCAAACTATTCAAGAAAGAATTGAAGAATTCGACACTTTTTTTGTAACGGAAGTAACTGGGAGTTTCACAGAGTCATTTCACTTGACCTGCACCTTGTACAGTACAACCCTTTGAACGGCAGCTCTTACATCGAATTTCCGAAATAGCTTAAAGGAAAAAAAGCAATAATCAATATGGAAAATCAAGATAATGAATGTTTTAATGGAGCATTACAAGAGCGCTTTATCCAGTTGAGAAAAACCCTCAAAGAAAAACAAAGATTCTTAAAGAACAATCTGATCAACTCGACTGGAGAGGAATCAACTTCCCGGTTGAGCTTGACAAGATAAAAAAGTTTCAAAATCAGAACGAAAATATCGCGGTAAACTTGTTTGGTTATGAAAGTGAGGCCAGAGTCTATCCTCTCAGAATAAGCAAGTCACCAGCCGAAGAAAGGATTTATTATGGCTCTTATTAGTCAGGATCTTATTGCAAATCGGAGAATGACTTAGAAAGCACGGAGGTGGAGGCAATTTGGCTGAAAGTGTGTCCTTATACATCGAAGCGATACATTATTTTCGGAAGTTTTTACCGACCACCGTCCTCCAAAATGGATGATGATATTAAAATCGAAGAGCTCATCGAGAGGGTTCATTTGTTAAACAAAGAAACTATCATTGTCTCTGACATTGACATTGACATTGACTATAAGGATAGGAAGAATTATGATAAGCATAGACTCGCTAAAGGGTT